GGCGGGGTTCATTTCCTTGCCAGCAGCTATTTGAATCCTCCAGTTCTGCTGTAACAGAGGCCCCTCCAGTGCATGGTTCTAACGATCAGAGATGTAGTCGCTCACATTTCAGGCTGCCACAGGTCTGAACTCCTGGCAGCAGCTCCAGGGTGAGGCTTTCTCTCTCTTTGGGCTCATCTGTAAGAAGAAAGGGTGTTTCCTTTCAGCACGTGTAGCCAAGCCTTCCTTGGACATCCCACTTGTCCTGACATCAATCTTCTCCTGGATCCGGAGGTTCTCAGCGTAGACCTGGGTCCAAAGGGCCTGTGCCCATTCTTGCTGGTAGTAGATCCCTCTGATAGCGTATCCCTCTGATCTCTCCTTGCTTTGCAGGCCACACCCCAGGAAAACTCCTCTTAGATCAGATTGGGACTGTGATGAGAAGGTGGGTATTGCAATTCAACCTTAATTCTTTTATAGTGACTTGGCTTATCACTTCAAATCAATATTAGTTAACACGAAGGGGAAAGCCCAGCTCAGATTCGGTGTCTGTTTGAGCAGCACAAGTAAAGCCCTGAAGGGAGCACAGCGAACCTGGACATGACGTTGGTCTTATCTAACGTTCACCGTCTAGTTAAAAATGCATTTATTATACAGGTAATGAGCGGAAACATTCTCTTTAGAAACCACTCAGCTCTCCCCTGGCCTCTGAGAGAGACTTTCTGTCCCTCCATACCCCACCCCCCTCAGCCTCGTGAACCCCATGTTGCCTCTCAGGAGGAGAGCAGTGGAGGTGGAGGAAATAACTGGCTGAGGAAACTGCCCAGCGAGGTGGAGGGCATCAAGAACATGACCCAGAATGTGGATGGATCCTGGCCCGAGGAGAAAACTTGGACCATGTTCGCAGCAAGACAGAGAACCTGGAAGCCACAGCAAGGCTGGGGCAATGGGGCTGTCGAGATAGGAGGAGGGTTGTGTTTTAGGAGCAAGGGAGGTCTATTTGCAGGGAAAAACAATTCGGGAAGAACAGAAGTTTGCCATTTACACTATCTTGGGGGACATTTGGGGAGTTGGTGTGAGCTGAGCCCACACTCTGGCTCTGCACTGAGTGTTTCAGGGACCCGGGGAGTAGGGTCTAATGGCTGGGGCAGTGGTGGGTGTATGCATGTGTGGGGCAGAGTGACCCATGAGGCATTTTCCAAGACCAGCAGATGCCTCTGTTCATAGGTTCCCTTCCAGTGAGCCCAGTTTTCTTTTTGAAGGCTGCTCTTAACCATTGAGACCTGACCTCTTCAGGGCAGAATGGTTGAGTTTCGGGTAGTCCTCCACTGGCCTTCTCCAGGACTTAGCAGGCAGGGATGGAAAATCTACTGGCGTCTAAGAGGGCTGACAGGTGTAGACTTGAGCAAAGGAGAACAAGGACCCCAAGAATGAAAAGAGGAATCAGGGTAGCAGGGGAAGCTTAGAATTTGGGGTTGGGGTTGATGAGCAATTTTTACTGTTGAATGCACACCTTCCAGTCTAAACTGTACACACACACACCTCTAAGTAACCATTTTAAAATTCATTAGCGAAAAGCTACCAGAGTCCTGCTGAGTCAGCCTCAAAGAGGAGCTGAAAGAGCAGGGGAATTCTTTGATGCCGGGTCCTCTGACAGCTGAAAGCTAGAATATCATCTCCCACAAACCAGCTTCATCACTCTCTCTCTCTCCAGCCAGGGCCAGAGGCCAGATCCTTAGGGACTTTCGGCAGAGGCTAGAGGCTCAGCTTCCATGTTCAGCTGGGAGAAACTAGCTCAGGCTCTGGAGCCCTGAGGTTAGTCTTGAAGCCAGCTCTCTGAGTGCAAGGACGTAGGATGACTTCCTGGCACCTCATCTGGGGAGGAGGACCCAGGGAACCTCAGTCTGTGCTACTGAAGGAGGGGGAGGAGCAGGGTCCTTCATTGCCATTATCACACCATTCCCATCCTGCTCTCGGGCCCTCCCCTGTCCACAGCAGTCCCCGGGTAAAGAGATCATGCAGCTGGGGAGATGTTATCCACCCAGGTCCCGGCCCTCCCTCAGGTCTGCCTTCCCAAGGGCAGATACCAGAGCTGTCCCCTATAAGGCCCCTCCATCGGTAGGACGGGGCTGGGTGAGATGAGAAGGTGCAGACTGGGAGCCCCCATGTAAGTGGAGAACTCCCTAGAAGCTTGTACTTCTCCATTTGAACCTGACCTGCCAGGTGGTTGTGATGGCTTATTTGCCAGGGTCGGGGATTAGAACATTGGCATAGAGAACGGTTTGTTACTGCAGCTCCTACTTCAAGCATCTCGGTGTGTGTGGCATGTGCCCTGTGGTGCTGGGTCACCCCTGTCTTCCCAGAGCGAGCACTTCAAGACGTGCAGCTAGTGGCTCCCTAGTTCTGGGGGAAGCACGTGACGGTGATTGTCATCCTCTGCGTGGGCTTCAGCCTCATCTTCGTTGTGCTTTTGGCCCCTGGAGCCCTCCCCCTGCTCCTGTCCCAGGGCACATCTCCATAGTGGGTGCCAAGGGGGCCCCATCCCTCACCCTCCTCCACTCAGTATCTGCTTGGTCCTGTCCTGACTGCTCCCGAGGACCCTCTGCACACTGCCTGCCCCAGGGAGCACCTTGGTCATCCCAGAGCAGAGTGTTGGACAAAGGCCGCATCTCGTGGGTCCTCGGCTGGGGTTGGAGAGACAGAGGGTCCAGTGTTTGGCTGGGAAACTGATGATTGATGAAGGCCTTTCAATATCTGGGTTGGTGTGCGTGTCTGGGTGACAGTCAATTTCCTTTTTTTTGGCCTTTCCGTTTCTTTGCTTCCATTGGACACTCCCTGGGTTCTCCCTGGAGAGCAGGTCAGGGGAGGGGTAGAGAGCTGATGTTTGAGGAGCGGGATGTTGTCCCTGTAGTTGATACTCCTTTTGGTCCTAACCCCTTCATTGCCACAGGCCTCAAGACCTGTGTTGACAATTTTCTGGGAATCTTTCTATGTGGAAGAGTGTCCAGGGCCATTCGGCTCAATCTTCACTATGTTTTGTCAGAGCTTGCAGTGCTCTTCCGTTCCCGCCTATGTGACAGAGTTTTGTAATTCTGTTATCTCCCCTCTGAATAGCCTGTCCTTGGGACGGGCTGAGTTTAGCCTTTAAGTCTGCCTAGGAACAGATGAGGGGGTTTCCATACATGGTGTGACTTTAGATAAAGCACCTATATCCTTGATTGGGTAGGAGATTGTCTTCACCCTATTTACACATCTAGTGCCTGCACCTGATTTGCATGAAATGAGGTCACTTCACATACCTGGTAGAAGACTGTAAACCGGTACTGAGGCGTGCGGCGC